AAATAAAATTAAAATTCAATTAAATTCTAGTCAATAATTACAATTTCATCAATTTATCAATTTTTAAAATTTTTTAGTTACAAATTTTTAGCGGCAGAAGGTGCAATTTAGCCCCTCTACCAGCCATCTTGTGGTAGATCAGCCGTTGTACTAGAAACTATGGCAAATCAGCCCCTCTACTTCATGTTATCCGCAGAACACCCCTTTTAATGAGAATGACGTCATCCAATCGTTAGACCCTCCATTGTCCGTTAAAACTTGATGAGTTGGCGCTAACTGGGAGCTGATTGGGTGCTGATGTGGACCAATTTTACTCCACTTGGGTTTACTGAGATGGCACTCCAATGCTTTTACTAAAGAACCCTTACCAGAATAATAAATTAGGGATCTAGGGTTTCAATCTCACAATCTCACCCTCGATTGAACTTTCCTTCTGTTTTGATTTGCTTCTACACATTTTAATTCCTTCCTCTGCTCATTTCAATTCCTTCTAGACTTGATTTCTTTCCCTCTATTTTGATTAAAGTTTAAAGTGATTTAGGCCATAGAGATGTATCTTCGTCAGGATCTGCGGTGAGTTTTTTGCCAAACTCAGCAGCGCCATCGCTAGTCAGTTGTTCGTCTTCCTCCTCTGCAACATCATCATCACTACTCTCCTCGCTAAGTCCGGTAGATTATCCACCAAGAATCTCGAAGACAACAATGCCGAGGATGAACTGTACGAGGAAGTCGTCAGAAACACTAAAAATTGCCAACTGCAATCTTCGGAAGATGCTAGGGAACTCTCCATAGAAGAGATTGATTTGGAAATGCAGGGCAATTTGGTGTTGGATCTTGATTCTGATTCGGATTTGGACATGGATAATCCGAACTCTTACCAGAGGAGCAAGTCGGAGAAGTTCGTTAGACCGGGTGTGGAGAAAGGAAAAAGGAAAAAAGGTATGCATATATGTTTCATTTTTGGTTCTGTTTGAATCAGTGTTGTTACCTTTTTTGTTGGGCTGAGTGTATGCTTGATTTTGTTTGAATCAGTGATTTTTCCATTTTTGTTGGGTTGAGTATATGCTTGGTTCTGTTTGAATCAGTGGTTTTCCCTTTTTTGTTAGGCTGATTGTGTGCTAATAACAGGGTCAGGGAGCCGATGCAGAAGGAGATGTGCTTTGAATGGCATGACAAGTGGTATGGGAAAAGGGCATGAAGTTATTTTTGCTTTAAGTGAAGAGAAAAAATCCAGAAGGAAATAATCCAGTTAAGGGGAGAGTTATGTTATGGCCAAGCAATTGAAGAGGCTCTGTTTCCTGATACTATCCTAAAATTGATTGAGATGAAGATGAAAGGCGCTCTCCATGAATTAAGCAACAAAGTCTCTACATTGCAAGGGAATTTGCAAGGGAGTTTAGCAAATATTGTTTCTTGCTTGTTAAGAGAAAGCCTATTTGGCTTTTGTGATTGCAATGTTAATTGTATTTGTAATGAAGGATTAGGAATATAGTGTCATTTGTTCCTAGGCAGGTTACGGATAGGAGAGCATTTTGTAGGATGTGTATATGATTCTGTGATAGCAATTGTGATTGCCCAAAACCTAGCACTCTCTGTATTTTGGCAATTAGCCATGATATAAAAATGCAAAATTTTGAGAAATCTGTTGTGTTTCCATTCATAATCTGTCTATGTTTCCATTTATTCATAGCAAACAGGAACTTACCACTTAAAACAGGAGAAACAGGAGAGAAATAAATAGGGCAAAATGTATAGTAAATCAATTTACATTTTACTGATATTTGGTAGTCAATTACATAGCATGTTTCCATTCATTCATAGAAACAAGAATTTACCACTTAAAACAGGAGACAAATAAACAAATCAAAATGAACAGTACAACAGTTTACATTCTATTGATTTTTGTTAATCAATTACATAACATGTTTCCATTCATTCATAGAAACAAGAATTTACCACTTAAAATAAGAGACAAATAAACAGATAAAAATGAACAGTAAACCAATTTGCATTCTACTGATTTTGACGGTTAATTACATAGCAAAGTTAATAAGGTATTATACCTATATTACCTAAGCAAAATACATGCTGTTAATCCAAAAACAACCCAACGAAAAATAAGTAAGCATATATACAGCTATATATGGAAGCTGTACTAAACTGAAGATAAGCAGCATGCTACACAACACACAAAGCAAACAAGATAAGCCAAATTAACTACCATCTATCAGAAAGTCCAGTGCTCTAAACAACTTTTTTCTTTCCCTTTATGGGAAGATGACCCACTTGTCCATTGCTTTGTATTTGCAGAAGGCTAAGCATGAGCATATTGCACTTCTCTAATTATTATCCTAGGCTACAAAAATTAAAATATTGGTTAGCATGATTATTTGAGTTTTCAAATAAAAAGTACAAAATAATTAGTCATTATTATTAAATTACCAAAACAGGATCAGATGCCACTTCAGTTAAACATTTCTTCCCTCCCTTTGACTTCGTCTTTGAAGTAGAAATGCCACTTCAGTTAAACTTTTCTTCCCTCCCTTTGACTTCATCTTTGAAGTAGAAACTTTCCTTTTTCCCTTTTGTGATTGTGTGACAACAATCTTCAACCAATAAGAAGAGATGCATTAGTAAATAATTAAAACACTATTAAAGGAAGGCAATTAAACTTAACTTACACTTTCTTGGGTTCCAACATGTACTGCTGTAGCTCCTTTAATAGTTGCTTCATTTTCTCTTAGAGGGCAGCCTCGCTTGTTATGATTCTTCTCTCCACAAATTTTACAAGTCATGACCCTACCATGTTTGGACATTGTATATTGGTTTTTCCCCTTCTTAACCTTTTTTGGTTCATGTTTGTCTTTTCTTCTATTTTTCTTGGGTCATCCTGGTAATGACTTCATGTCTAGTGGCAATAAAGCTTCAGTGTTGTATTTTTTCCTAGCTTCTTCACCTCTTATACACTCCAATGATGTGCCATATGCTGCTAAATACGCTTCCTTCTTGTAATAATCATCAATAAAGTATTCAAGATTCCAGCCATTAGATTTGCAGCTGCACAATAAATGTGGACATGGAATTCTTGAGATTTGCCACCCCCTACAAGTACATGTTCTATCTTTGAGATCCACCACATGAGTATAAGTTGTCACTTCATCAATCACCTTACATTGTGTGCCTCCATTACAAGTTTGTGTACAATGAAAGGCAAGCTTTAGGTTGGCCTCAATTTTGTCCCTAATCCTTGGAGCAATATCCCCATTCCATTTTGCAACACTTTCATGTTTTTCTTTAAGCCTCACAGTGCACTGATCCATAATGGTATTCAACATGGTTATTGGTGCCTTACACCTAGCTTGCAAAATCCATGAGTTAAATGTCTCGCCCATATTGTTGTCAATGGAATCACACCTTGAATGACAATCAATAAAGGCGTTGCACCATTTTGTTCTATCTAAGTTCATTAGATATTGATAGCCCTCTTGTGTTTTACCCCTCATGACCTCCATTTGTTCCTCCCATGCGTGTAAAAATGGTGCCCAAGCACAATTCTAGAACTGAATTTTGCAATCATCACCCCTGTCTATCTTTGCAAAGTTGTAATAAATATGTCTAGCACACCACCGGTGATTCGCAGACGGAAATACATGTTGTGCAGCTGCACTAATTGCCTATAAAAAAGAAATATAAAAGAATAATATCGATTTGTCATAAAGCCAAACAATCAAATGCAAATAAAGGTACAAAATGATCAAAACAGTAACTCTAACTAACCTTGTGCTGATCTGACATAATGGTGAAATTTTCACCATTACCAACCTCTAAATCATCTCTCAAAGCCTCAAAGAACCATTCCCAAGAATTAGTGCTCTCTCCTACTATAGCCCATGCAACAGGGTACATTTGTTCATTTCCATCCCTCCCAACAGCACACATTAGTACTCCCTTACCAACACCTTTAAGAAAGCATGCATCAACACAAACATATGGTCTGCATCCTCTTTTCCAGCCATCCTTGAGTACTTTTAAACACATATAAAACCTTTTGAACTTAGGTTTAGTAGGATTTGATCTATCCACAGCTATTTTAGCTGAATTCCCGGGGTTGACAGAAAGCAAATAATAAGCATAGCCAACCATCAAACCATATTCATCCTTGAAATTGCCTCTCAACTCCTTGATAATCATCCTTTTTGCTCTCACACATTTGTCAAAGCTTGCATTAACTCTCAACTCACTATAAGTTGTCTTCATCATATCTGACACCTTGATAAAAGGTGTATCTCTTACCCTTTCTCTCCAATACTTGGCAACATGTAGCTGTGTGAGCATGGGAATGTCACTAGTCCTGATACACCTATGTTGTCTATGATAAGTTTTCACCTGAAAGGAATCTGTTTTTGCATCCGGTGAAGCAAATAGTTCCCACCCACAAAATTGTCCAGCACACTTGTACCTCTGCCTTCTAGGTTCATTTTTAATAGTGAGCAATTTACATCTTTTGGATATAGAATACTTCCTAACTGCTTCCCTAAACTGAATACGATTTATGAATCTCATACCAACCTCAAACCAAGCAACGTCCCAATTAGGATTGTAGTATATGTCTGTAACTCCCATGCTTGGTGGATCAGCAGCAACATAAAACACATTCTCCTCCTCCTCAGATGATGAAAATGCCCTCAACTGTCCAAAGTCATCACTATCATAATAGTCCGTGTCCCTACTAGTTTCACTATAATCAAAATCATCTACCACCAATTCCCTTACATTTCTAACAGGATCGCCTCTTTTTGGTTTTGTAGGGGTCAAGACATGTCCCTTGAGTGGCCCAGCTGGGACAGAAATATCCTTATATTTTTTTACTCTCATAGCTGCCTTTTCTTTCTCCTTTTCTAGCTCTTCTGCTGTTTTCACCTTCATTTTTTTCTCGGGTCTTCTGGTTGAAGTAGAACCAGCATCACCACTAGGTTGCTGCAGTTGCTCTGTGTTGATCATCCTCCTCTTCACTGGCAGTTTAGATATCCTTGATGGACCAGCCTCTTGTTGGTCAACATCAGCATTTGCAAATGAATTTATAAAACATCTAGCTTGAGCATAAACTATTTGCCTTTCTTCATCATCATTATCACTTCCAACGGGACTAATTATCCCTTCATTTGAATCATCATCCAATTCATCAAAAAACACATTGTCTTATCCAGCATTAACATTCTCTTGAAAGCCCAAATGGTCTTGAGTAATGGTACCCAAATCTTCTTCATTTTGTTCACCAAAAACAATATTTTGTTGCACAGATGAAGCTGAAATAATGCCATCATGATCCACATAAACAAATACCTCATCATGCTTTTAAAGGATTTTTTTAATATCAACAATGCTACAATGAGTTGAAATGGGCTTTATATCACTCAAATCAAACCTCGGCCGCTTGAAATATACTTGATGCGGCTCAATTGCTTCATAGCCTAAGCTATTTATGAAACCCATGATTTGTTCAATGGACAGTTGTCATAACCCGATCTTTCATTCAGTATCAATCACAAAATTAATAAAAAAAAATAAAAATAAAAAGCACAGAAATATAAAAATATGAATTTTCTCTTTCCTTTAACTAATATATTTTTATTTTGTTTCAGGAGCTATGTGCAAAAAGAAACTCAAGAAAGGGACTTAATTGAAGGAATTCGAAGTGCAAGGCCAAATTTCAAAAGTCATACAAGAGCCTTGAACTTCAGCCCATTTCTCAACCCATCTCAAATGGCCCATTATCCAAACCCAATTATCCAAAAACCCAAAACCCAAAAACCCCAAAAAAAAAAAAGGGTAGAAAGTGGATCTGGAA